CCCCCCCCCCCCCATGACCTTCGACCTCCCGTAACATCAAGATGTCAGTGTCGTGCCCTATTGAAGGTTCTCTCGATGTGTGCCCTTTGTCTCTGGGTTTTTTCTTTTGTTTTTTGTTTTTCCTTTGCTTCTGTTTTGTTTTGGAGGGGTTTTGGGAAAGGGGGGGGGGGGTGGGGCTGTTTTATTGCTGTTGTTTTTTTGTTGTTTTCTTTGTTTTGCTTTGGGTTTTGTTTTTGTTTTGTTTCGTTTTTTTGCTAGGAGAAAGTTATATATCGTGCCACCGACACGCAGACCTGTCTTGGCAGAAACATTATCCTCAAACAGGAAACAAGGAGTTCATTGTAATCTCGACGGTCAGATTCGTACGACACAATAGATTTAAGCTGGATAAAGCCATGGTAAGCGTCAGAAGCCGTCTCCTCCCTAAGCCAAATTGTATTTTAGTTTTAGTAAGAGTTTTACGACACTTGCAACATAATAAGGCCATATAAGTGCGGAAGATAATTAGAGACGTTACAAGAGAATAATATACACAAAAAGAAGGAGAGATCAAGACGATATATGTTTGGTAGGAAAGAAGGAACAAACCACACCAGAGCACCCGAAAAACACCAGCAGATAGTCTTTAAAATAATATTTAGTTGCAAGTCACCGTTTCTGTTGACTCTACTGGGCTCAAGAAATCGTTCGTTTCGTTTTCCGTTTATTTTGCGCTCGCACTATCTTTGTAATGACCATAGATTTTAATTATACCCTAGATCGTGCACTATCATGGAAGCTTCTCTTGCTTGGCTCCCTGAGACACACGCATCATGGGCGCCCATAGTTGGGTGTGCGAGACAGCCCCCCCCCCCCCCCCCCTTACACACACCCCTTGCCTTTTTCGCCAGACTAAGTCAAATGGAGCACTCGTCCATGGTGAACCGGAACTACGTCAGAGTGTGCCGTATTTGTTTTATTAGCAAGGACTTTACAACATAACCTCCTTATTTATTGGCTATATATTTGTTGTAGAGGCTGCATTGATTGTATTGATTGTATTAGTTATACTAGTTGCACTGATTGTATTGATTGTATTAGTTATATTAGTTGCACTGATTGTATTGATTGTATTAGTTATACTAGTTGCACTGATTGTATTGATTGTATTAGTTATACTAGTTGCACTGATTGTATTGATTGTATTAGTTCACTGATTGTATTGATTGTAGTAGTTATACTAGTTGCACTGATTGTATTGATTGTATTAGTTATACTAGTTGCACTGATTGTATTGATTGTATTAGTTCACTGATTGTATTGATTGTATTAGTTATACTAGTTGCACTGACTGTATTGATTGTAATAGTTATATTAGTTGCACTGATTGTATTGATTGTATTAGTTATATTAGTTGCACTGATTGTATTGATTGTATTAGTTCACTGATTGTATTGATTGTATTAGTTATATTAGTTGCACTGATTGTATTGATTGTATTAGTTATACTAGTTGCACTGATTGTATTGATTGTATTAGTTCACTGATTGTATTGATTGTATTAGTTATACTAGTTGCACTGATTGTATTGATTGCTCTGGTCCAGAATCTCTCGCAAAACAAATCAAATTAATGTGTCATCGCGAATCATATTCAGACGAAAGTCACATTAGGCTATTCTGAGCTAGGAGGCTCGAACGGAAAATAAACCCACCTCCTTCATTCTCTTAAAAGTGATTGATGATTTTGGTTTCATTTCAGTTTAATAATATTAAACTTTAACAACTTTACTCAACTACATGTATTTTACTTTGATTTATTTCTGAACTGTGCGTGGTTTGACGTAACCTTTAGCCCACTTTGGAGACTGTTTACTCATTTATCCTCTTTTCGCTCGTTGTATTAAAAATTCCATATTTTTGTCAAATATTGTCCGACTGACTTCATTTTTTTTCTTTGAGGTGTAGGAAAGGGTTGGTAGTTTTTGACAATAAAATTAGCTCAGTTTGCAAAATATTTCCGGGCTGAAT